GCCGAGGTCCAGAGTCTGATGTTCCTGCCAGACCAGAAGAATCCACACTGACCTCTGTGAAGGCCTTCCTCGGAAAACAACATTCCCTGGAATTCTGAGACACACTTATAATTTTCTTTGTGTATAATTGTGTGTGTGTGTAACAGTAGAACAGGAAGGACACACCCATCATCAAACAGATTCCACGTCTAACCCTAACGTCCACTGTTGCTCCGTCCTAATGAGTGGAATCTGAATTCCACATCCAACAAAAACTGACCTTCGTGTGTGCGTTAGAGCGTGAGTGTGTGTGTTAGAGCGTGAGTGTGTGTGATTAGAAAAGTATTTTTTTAATATCTGTCTTTGCTGAATGAAGAGCCTGCGTCTGTTCACACCTGCTCCCTGTGACTAACACTGATGATACAGTCAACGATGAAGGAAAAACGTAAGAAAAAAAAAAGAAAAGAAAACAGAAGAGGCCTGACGAAATAAACACACTCCCACCAACCAAAACATTCAGACTGGGTCTCCACCGACCCAAAGGTGTAAATGTTAGTGTGAATGTTAGTGTGAATCCTTGTCTGACTGTGTGTTGTAGAAGTAGAACATGAACTGGAACGTGTAAAAAATTCTTAGTTTTCCAGCATTCTCTATCTGTCCTCACCGATGGAACCAGGATCTGGTTCATTCCAAATGTGAACTGGTCTTTTTTTCAGCCTCACTCTCTCACTCCTCTGATCTCCTCTGATCTCCTCTGATCTCCTCTGATCTTCTGTTAAACATCCTCTGATCTGTTTGTTTGTAAAATGTAAACGTCATGTTAAATCCATCAACTTTTTAAAGGCAGTTCTTCTTTTTAGTTTATTTTTTGTCCAAACTCCAGAGTTCAGTGAATGTTGTGACTAATTCCACATCTTCTGTTTCCAGGCTCAGCTCTCACATCTGAACATCTTCTCAGCATGACTCCCCTGCCTCTCCTCCAGCAGTGATGACCTCCTCCCGCCCCCCCACGCCCCTCCTCTGCGTGCTGCTCTGTGTGACGTTGGCGCTCCAGCGGACCGACCTGCGCCTGGCCTACGTCACCCACAACAGCTTCTTTTACTACTCCTGCAGCCAGGAGCCCCCACCCTGCAGCGTGGCTTCTCTGACCGACTGCAGGTGTAAAGACATCCAGCTGTCCACGCTGCACCACCCGCACTCCCACTCCTCCCCCGTGTTCAGGATGAAACGTTTAACCGTTTGGTTCACGTCGCCGTCCAATACGGCCCGTCTGCTGAACAACTCCGAGGTCAGGCACCTCACTTTGATCCACTGTGGTGCAGGAGGCTCCAGAGAGATGACCTCCTCCTCCTCCTCTTCCTCCTCCTCCTCGGACCCCTCCTCTTCACTGCAGGGACACTTTGCCGTGCAGCACCTGGAGCGGCTGACGGTGGTGGACGTTCCTCAGAGACTTCCTCACTATTGTCCAGACGCCAACAGAGCCTGGAACACGGACTCCAACGGTGACCCCGACCACAGTGCCCACCTGGACTCCAACAGGTCCAACAGAGACCTGGACTCAAACCTGGACCTGATCCCAGATGTGAACAAAGACTCCGTGGATTTTACCTCCACCCACGTCCAGGACATCCTCC